TCTGTCTGCTCCCTCTTCTGCTAGTTTGTGGCCCAAATCTAAGGAGCCGTGTAGACAGACCCATCCCCTCTGGGAGTCTAGGCTAGGAGAGGAGCTGCTTTGCTGACCTCCTTGATGCCAGGGTATCTGGAGAGGAAAAGAGGGGAAAGTTGTTCCCTCATCCTGTCGGTGCACAGACACAGCCGCACCTCTGGGCTATTTTAAGCCATCTGTTTACCCAGAGGGGCCCAGGAGACAGATCTCCACAGCTGTTACTTATGGCCAGGAAACTCTCAGGGCTCCACCTCCGTCCTGAACTGCTTTCAGAGCACCCAGAAAACTACCTTGCTGCACCTCTTTTTCTGCACCTTGGGTCAGAGAAGGCTCTGAGTAGACCTCACAGATGGAGGCAGGTGGAGCCGTGTTTGGGAAATCTGGGACCCAGAATGAATAAGAGGCCTTGGAAAGAACACTTGGCTGGGGTCAGAAGAAGACTGCTACGTACTGGTTCTGTGGTCTTGAACAAATTACTGAGTCTCCCTGACTCAGTTTCCCTATCTGTAGAGTGGCAATAACATAACCCCCTCTCCCAGCCCTGTGCTGAGGGTTGAATGGGCTCATGCCAGTGCGAGTATATGTAAACTGGACGAATGTAAACTGCACCAGAGGATTTAACCCTTAGGACCAACCACCCTGGGGCCGCAAAGTGTGTTCAACTGAACACACATGGTCTAATTCTGTTCTGGACCTATCCTGCCCCTGCGCTGGGGAGATCACAACACTGCATAGAGTGGGTGTGCACGTGCCTATGTGTGACCAAGGGCAGCATAGACCAGCAGCCTTAGAGGTTAGAAAATGGATCTCTTCCATAGGGAGCCACTGGATTGCGGCCTCCTGGCCTGGTAGCCCTAGGCCCTCCCTAGGTCTATATTAGTCTGTGCTCCTCTGTTCCTTTAATCCTAGGGGGAGGGTGACATTGGTCGGTTGGGCACGGGTGAATGCAAGTTCCAGGCTCTCGCCTGAATTCTTCCTTTAGGAACTAGGATGCATTTTCCCCTCAGGTTCTCGTAGAGATCAGAAAATATCTGAGTTGGAAGGGACCTTAGGGATCAACTTAGTGTAACTTCCTCATGTTACAAATGAAAAAACTAAGGCCAGGACTGGAAAATCACTTGCCAAGCTTCAAGCAGCAAGTCCAAATGGCCACCCAGGCTCCTCTGCCCCCTGAGGACATCATGCCTCCATTTTTCCTGAAATTTCTCCTAGTGTGGACCCTCCTCTGTTTGTGGGCATTGTTGGGACTCCCATAAAGGAAGCCTGGGAGCTGAGGGAGGGAATATGGCTCTATGTATCCCCTTTTTCTTTGCCTATGATCTTTGCAGGGTCTTCTGCAAAAGGAACAGAGAGGAAAGAGGAGGAAGGACTACTTGGTGCTATTCCTGGAGATGTCATAATCTGGACAAGACAGAGGGACCCTGTATGTAGGCCTCTCTTTGGGGCCTGGAGACCGTTTGCTCAGGGTCCTTGTTCCTCTGGGCTGTGGCTGAGGGTGGAATGCCTCTTCTGCCCAGAAGCTTCTGGCCCTGGACTGTTACCTGTGCTGTAACTATTGTTTCCCTGGGGGTGGATGTGAAGAACCTGTGGGCAGATTCAATTCTATAAGGGGAAAAAAAAATGCTTCTCACCCAGCCTTGGGAAAGGGTGGGTCTGTTTTCCCTGTCTCAGGATCTTTCACTCCAGAGAGAAGCTGTAAAGAAAGAGTGAGAGCTATACAGATAGAGGAGAGGCCCTCTCAGCAACAGAGAAAAGTCGAGGGAGGAGGTACTTTGAGGCCATCTTTAAATATGCCTGTGTTGTCCCCTGTCCTTACCACACTCCCTAGGACTCGACAGCCTGTATCTGGAGAGGCAGGTGGCATCCTGGTACCAGGAGGCCCAAGCGGTGGTTTCATTCTCTGGGCCCTTGCCTCTAAGGAGCTGCCCTCCCTCCCCCTGGTTAGAGGGTCCAAAGTGTCACCCCGAGAGGCCAAGCGAAATTTGCAGCTGTGTCCCCCGCAGCCCCTACCATGCAGCTCGTGGCTGCAGGTCTGTGACCCTGACCCCTACTATTCCCATCCTAAATTCCCCCAGCCTGCCCCAGCCCACACTCTTCTAGGGAGAGGGGACCCAGCCCACACCCAGGTCTCACCCTGTGACGATCTCAAAGGGAGGCAGTTCAATCAGCTCCTTCAGCTTCTCAGGGTCGTCCAGATCGTCCAGATCCTCACCGTTCTGGGAGGCGGGCGCAGCAGGCGCAGCGGGCGCAGCGGCCGCAGCGGCCTCTTCTTTCTGGGCCATGGAGGGGCTGTGGCTCCGCAGTCACTGAGAAAGGGGAGAGGCGGTGAGTTTCCCCGGCCAGGGCCTGGCGGCAGAGGCCCAAGCAGCTGTCAGCAGCTAAATCTGCCTGGGGACGATGGGAAGAGCACTGGGCAGGCCAGGCTTAGTGTTCTCACCTCCTGGCCACAGGCTTTATAACCAGAGCCCTCTGCCCCTCCCCCAGGCCCTCGCCCTCTATCTTTTTTTAATTGAGTGACAGCGGGTGCCGGGATGGGGGGAATGGAAACTCTGGCCATTAGTATCCCCTATTTATCAGGAGGCAAAGACAGGAAGCTGGCAGGTGGGGATGGTGAGGCCTGCTCTCCCTTCCCCCACCAGCTCACACATGTATTCATCCTCTCCCCCTCCACCTTACATCCTTCCCTCTGTTTCCCATGCAACCTTTCCAGCTTCACTGGGGGGGGGGGGGGGGCGTGGAAAAAGGGGCCTACAGGTGAGCATCCTGAGATTTGGGGGAGATGCTCTCAGAAGTGTAAGCAGGATGAGGCTTGTGTTGAACAGGGTGCTTGTAGAGACCCACCCCCTCCCCCCCTGGCAGGTTCAGGAAAGGAGCATCCTGAGACGGGGTGGGATAAGAGCTGCCAATTTGGAAAGAAACTGTGAACTGTTACTTAAAGGGAACAGACGCCGATTTGCCTGTTATGAACCCATAATGCAGTGTCGATTTGGGAGCCTCCAGTAGTTAGCGATATTGCTGTTTACAAGCTCCGAGGGTTTTGAAAGAAGACAGGCAGTGAGTTTCGTGGTTTATGTGTGAAATCAGACTGTCAACAGCCGTGGGAGGCAATCTGTATCATCCCGTGTTTCACATAGGGAAACTTGGACTCCCAGAAGGGCTGGTTAAGGGCCTTGCCTAAGGCCATGCAGCCCCGGAAGTGGCAAGTCAGAATTCCAACCCAGGCCTTTGTACCCCAGAGGCCAAACATTTGACCTCCATGGTATGTTCCCTCTCGGTCAGTCCTTTATTCCTTTAACAAATATTTGTTGAATACCTACTATATGCCAGGTGCCAGTTCTGGTATTGGGACTATGGCACAGAACAAAACAGATGAAAACCCTTGCCCCCACAGAGCTTGAGGGGGCTGGACAATCAGTAAAATAAGTGATATATATAGGCTATTTGCTGGTGCGAAGTGCCAGGGAGAAAAGGCAGGTAAGGTGAGGGGGACAGAAGTGACAAGAGGTGAGGTTGTATTTTTATAGAGTGGCCAGGGAAGCACTTTGAAAAGGAAACAACTAAGAGCTGAAGGTTGTGAAGGGAATAATCATATGGATATCTAAGGGGAAAGTGTTCCAAGGGGAGGAAGAGCCGGTGCAAAGGCCTTGGGGAGGCAGCGTTCCTTGTGTGTTTGCGGAACAAGCAAGGACACCTGGGCGACTGGAGAGTCCTGGGAGATGAGGCCAGAGAGATAAGTGTGGGCGAGATAGCTGCGACCTTATGGGCTACTCTAAGGGCCTTGACTTTTTCTCTGAGTGATATGGGAAGCCCCTGTCTTTGAACACATGAGAACATGGTCTGACTTATATTTTTACAGGATCAGCCAGGCTGCTTGGTTGAAGATAGACCAAAAAGCAGAAGCAGAGGGACCAGTTCTAAGCCTATTGAAAGTAATGAGAGACCTGGGGCCCCTAGAAAAATCCCTGAGCTGAAATAGCATTGGAAGATGGACAGATACCTTTTTGCAGATTCATATCATGGATGCTTAGCAGGGGCCACAGGCATTCATGTTTGGGGCACTGCAAATACTCTAGGACATTCTCAGGGCTGTGGAAGGCTGGGGTCACGGTCACCTAGAGGTTGAAAGTGAGGAAACTGAGAACACTGGGCACTGGTCAGAACGATGCTCCAAGTGGGGCTGGGTGGTGGTGGTGGAAAGGGAGTGTACCTTTCCACAGTCTGACTAGACAATAGGAGTCAGGTCAGTTTGGAGTATTGGGGGTTCTCTTCCCAGAGAATCCTGAGCAGCACAGTGCCCTGTAAGATGCCCAAGCATTGTGGTTTGCCTGGATGGTCATAATTTCTACCTGCTGTCCAGGTATAGTTACTACTCATGCCCCATCCACTCCCCATAGCGCTCTGGTATCGACAATCAACCCTATGGTCACCCGACCTGATCGGCTGATTACTGAAAGCACTTGTGCAGAGATTGTTTTTCTGGGGGTGTAAAACAGGGTGGTAGTGGTAGTGCCTGAGTCCACAAAGAAAACGCAGTGATCACAGGTACAAGGCGAACACACGTTATTACGATTCTGGTCATCACACACACACACACACACCATTTAAATGCGAAGGGTTCACTTCCTTCGCTTATTTGACCAACACTTATCAAGGGCTCCTGCGTGCCATGCACTGTAGGAAATACCAAGAACACAGAGACGCAGGAGGTACAGCCTCACCGGGAGCTCGCAGGACTTGTTGCATGGGGGGCACTCAAGCATGCATCGTTTCATTCCGTTCTCACGCCAGTCTCACACGGGTGGGTATTATTGGCCTCGTTTTGCAAGTAGGGACCTGCCGCTCGGGGAGGTGAAGTGATTTGCACAAGATCACACAGGGATTTAAGTCTGGGTCCTCTGAGCATACTTCTTATCCCCAGGACTGCACCCAGCCAGCTCTGATGAATATATGTCTTTTTTTTTTTGAACATCTTATTCATTTTCTGAGAGACAGAGCATGAGTGGGAAAGGGGCAGAGAGAGGGAGACACAGAATCCGAAGCAGGCCTCAGGCCCTGAGCACAGAGCCCGATGCGGGGCTCGAACTCACGGACTGTGAGATCATGACCTGAGCCGAAGTCAGACGCTCAACCCACTGAGCCACCCAGGCGCCCCTCTGATGAATACATGTCTTAATCAACATCTGCGTGTGTCCCTCTCCACTTCCAGGTCACGGCTACAGCGAGGGGCTTGGAGTAACCAAGGAGAGGTCAAAGGTCTGGGGGGAGGGAAGCGAGGAGGAGGGATTTTTTTTCCAGCGCCTTATTCCCCCTGTGGGAAAGACTTCCCCCTTGAGGACAGGGTCTCCTACTTTGGCTGTCGTGTATCAGGATTGGGAGAGGGGACAAAGTTCATATCCATGCCCCCATCTCAGCTTTGATTCACTGTGTGATCTTGGCCAAGCCACTAAGCATCTCTGGGCCTCAGTGATGCCAGCTAAGTTACTGTTCTCTATTCCAGGATGGTCAAACAGATGCAAATGAGAAGAGACAGGGCTGGCTCCCAAAGACCTGCGGGGTGAAAATAACAGTGTGGTGCAAATTCCCTGAGTGATGGTAGAGCTGATGCAGAGGTGGACCCAGGCTGGTCCCTTTCTGAAGAGGGGACCCCTTGCTCCAACCACACCCACATACAGTTTTTCCTGTGACACTTGGGAGAGCACCCTGGGCCTTCCCCTGCACTGATAACTGACAGCTTCCTTTTCCACTGCTCCATTCTGGCCCCTGCCCCTACCCGCCATCCTTAGAAGCCCTCTGAGCTAGTGTGGCTATATATGGCACCTCCTGGGGGCCTGGTTCCTGGCTGGTCCCTGGCTCTCCTTTCCAGGTCGGACCAGTTTCCCCTGCAGGCCCCAGAAGGCAGCCACTAATCTGGAGATCAGGTGCCAGGAGCTTGGCTCCACGTCCTGCAGCTGCCAGGATATTCTTTAGGGCAGGCAGTCCCCAACCCCCCTGTTAACACTCTTCAATTCAGTAGGTTTCTATCCATTTGCCCCTCCTGCAGGGGAGGAGACTGGGAAATAGGTTATTTAGTTCAAGATCACCGTAGAGGCCTGTGTGTGGGGTGCTGGAATTTGAACCCAGCCTCCAAGTTCTAGGCTTTTCCCAGTGTGTTTTGCTGCCTGGGATTCAGTAACAGTGAGAGCTCACACTAGCATGGCCCTTTCCTGGGGGCCTGACACTGGTCTAAGTAGGTCATGTCATTACCCCATTTATTCCTTACCAGGATGTTAGGGTAGGTGCTACTGTTATCTTCATTTTATGGGTGAGGAAATTGAGACCAGAAAGCTTAAGTGACTTGGCCAAGGTCACGCAGCTAGTGATAGCTGAGCTACGTGCTGTGCTGCCAGAGTCCCATTGTTGCTCCTTCAACATTCAGTCCCTACTGATACCAGGACCCCTGAGGTCAGGCTCTGAGGAAGGCGGGGCAAGAAGGGGACTAGGGGGAAGAAAGTGTTCTTCAGGGAGATTGGGCTCTGGAAGCAGTTGGTATAGGAGGGGTACACGTGCACGTGTGTGTCTATGCGGGGGGTGTGTCTGTGTGTGCGTGTGTGCGCGCGCATGTGTGTGTGTGTGTGTGTAGGGGGTATGGGTGCAGAGACAAAGCAGCTGGTGAATGGGGATGGAAACCAAAAAAGGAATTCTTGCGATCTGTCCCTGCAGGCCTCAGCCCCCTGCACTCCGGGTGGCAGTGACTGGAAGGAGCCGGATTTGGCCCAAGGTGAGCCGCAGGCTGCCTCTCCCTGTCCCTTTTCCCAGGGTCATTTCAGAAAAATTTCAGGGGCTCTGGAGGTGGCTGAGGAGTAGGAGACAGGACCAGGCACAGCTCTTCCTTGGGTCTCAGTCTGCTGCCTCGCTGCCCTCGCTGGGAAGGGAGTAGAGGCCAGGAGGGGGCTAGTGGAAAATAGAAGCCTCACCAGGGGAAGGTTTAAATTCTCACTTTGTGAAAGAAGACACCTTGGGAGCACGTTGATGGAGTGGGTGCTTTATGTGCAGGGACAGCTGGGACCCCAACAGCGCGTTGCCCCAGAGACCCAGCCTGGGCGTGCCCGTCTCTCGGTCACTACCGAGACGAGGTACACAAACAACGGGCTGCCGGCACCAGACACCCCCCTGGCGGGCAGAAGCCTGCACCCTCCAGCAACCGCTCTGTTGACATAAACACGGGGTGTCTGGAGCTCCGGCCAGGTGGGGGGAGGGGGCCCAAGGGTCTCCCAGAGGTCTAAGGCTGAGAGCAGAGAAGACA